GATTTGGCCTTTTTCCAGTGATCATTTCATAGGGAGTTTTCCCAATCTTCGGGTTGTAGCATCCGTTACGAATGTATGCTGAAGCTTTCGCAGCATAAATCCATAGAGTCTTAGGTACCTTTGCTTCCAACAATAAGCATCTGGCCATATAAAAAATAGACCTCCAAGCTCGCTCTGCTGTACCATTTTGATGTGGTGAATATGGTGCAGAAAATTCATGCTTTATGTGATTTTTAATCATTAGACTTTTTAATTCAGTGGAAGTGAATTCACCACCATTGTCAGACCTTAGTCGTTTGACAGATCCATATGGAGCTGAATCCGCCAAGAATTTTGCTGTAGCTGCCAGAGTATCACTCTTAGATCTCAAAAAATAAATCATTATCATTCCAGAGAAGTCATCTACAAAGGAAATGGCATACTGTACTTAAAACCTTCTCTTGCAGTATGGTCTACAGGACCTGCTAAATCACAGTGTACAAGTTCTAAATTGGTTGTAGCTCGCTGATCAGGTTCTCTACTTCTATAATGAGACATTTTACCTGAAATGCATACATTACAATCAAAATTATTCTTATCTGTAATGTTCATACCATCAACAACATTTTCTAATTTAAGTATATCTTTCACATTACAATGACCTAAAATTTTATGCCATTCCTCAATAGTATGACTGCTGCTTTTCTGTGAGTTCACATTATTCAGATAATACAGTTTGCCATGTTTATTAATATCAAACACTGTACCATCTGAGGCCTTCAATTCTGCAGAATTTGGGGTAAAATTTACTGTTGCACCTTTCTCTGGCTGCTAAAACAGAAAATATATTCTGTTTATAGGAAGGAACACATAGAGCATTTTTGAGTAGAACTTTATGGCTATTACCATTAACATCATTAATTTCAACTCTTGCATCACCTCTACCTGATACAATACCATTTTGCCTACTACCATCTGCCAATTCTATACAATGGTTAGAAGAATCAAAATTCTGATCAAATTTTACAAACTGGGATTTGTCACTTATGATATGTGATGTCGCTCCACAGTCTACCAACAGGCATTGTGCATTAACATCACTACTTACATTATTATAAACAGAACTGACACTAGCTCTAAATGCAAGTGAATGGCTATCTTCTTCACTGTTAGTTACAGACTTTACTGAATTATTTCTGCGGCAATAATTTGTATCATGAGTCGGGAATTTGCAGTTATCACACCACCTACTAGGCCTTGCTTCATTAGGATTACTGTATATTTGTCTTTACTTCTGCACTCAGATTTTCTGTGTCCTAATTTTCCACAGGAAAAGCATTTAATATTCATATTTTTTAATTTTGTACTGTATTCATCACATTATCTGCGTCGTCACCTTGTTGTTGTTGACACTTTTCAGTTTCTTCAAAACTTCTTAATGCTGCTTTAAAATCTGAGAAACTAACAGCTGTTTCTTACTGCATCACAACAGTAGAAAATGTCTGATATTCTAAAGGTAATCCATTTAATAACATTGCTACAAGTAAACTGTCACTGATGGTTTCACCTGCTAGTTTCAATGAAGCTTCTGTAATTTCAGCCCGTATCACGTAGTCGGTAATGGTCTCTTCATTGGATTTCTTGAGTGACGTCAGTTCTGTATACAAGGCAATAATTCTTGGCTTGCTGCTGCCTAGATAATGTTCACGGAAAATCTTTAATGACTTCCTACCGTCATCTTTGGCATCTCGGATAATAAGGGAAAGACTTCTATCGTCGAGGTACTGGACTAGTTCTGCAAACACTTCAGCGTTCTTCTCCGTCACCTCTGCACCGTCTCCATCTTGATTAACGACATCGAGGAGTTTTTGAAGTCTTAAATGGCCTAAGAACTTCACTTCCCACAACTCATACTTGCTTTCATCACCATCAAACACCAACCTGTGCCTGGGCCCATAACCTGTTGAAGTTACAGTGTTCATTTTTGGTGGATATCAACGAAATATGATGCGAGAGGCTCAGACAATGACACAAACGATGTTGCTCTTTCCAGTATATTTTCGGGACCTTCCGTGAAAACAAAACAAACATAACATGCGCATTCAAAGTGGCGCTTTATTCCACAACTAAAATAAAACATAATGGAACATATTCACATAAATATGGGGTAACCTAGTTTATATCTAACAATAACGAATTTATATGAGGATAAAATATTTCTCTTCAACAAAATTAAGTCTAAGTCGATATTTAGCCTTTCGTTTCTTCCATACTTTTGCATCGATATAATCAGGAAATAGCTAATTTCGTTTCAAGCTAACAAAGCTTATGGAATACCTTGTATTATCAATTAAATGAATAAATTTTTGACAAGCATAATTTCTCAACAGATTTCCATCTAATCCTGAGAAGAGAAAGCAATGGCTTGTTCAAATGCATCGTGAGGACTGGTTACCTACATCACACTCCTAAATATGCTCGGATCATTTTGAAGGGGAAAATATTGACAGGACAGGGCAAATTGTCAGATTAAAGGCTAATGCAGTGCCAACAAGATTTTAAAAGTTTCCAAAACATAAGGCATACATAGCTGGGCCAGTCATGCCTGCTCTAAACGTAACTCGCCAACGTCGATTATCTCGTTCTTTAGGCCTAAACTAGTCTCAAATGACTCCTCTGTGTCTCCTCGAACAGTTATATGACTGCATCACCGACAAGAAAAATATTATCCTGAATTTGTGAGCAAAATTTGTCATGATAGCACTCACTGATTAAGCCAAATCCGCGTAAAGCGTGGTCGTGGATAAGGGTCTGTAAACAGGAAATGTGCTTCTCATTTGTGTAAAACAAGCAAATAAATACAACTAAAACTACATCCAGGACTGATTCTTGTTTAGTTCCACTGCACAGTGCCGTTCTTGGCAGTAAATATATAAGCTGTCATTAGTTATTCAGATATTCTTCACTACAAGGGCTACAGTGATCTCCGCAGCTTTGTTTACGTTTTGGGTCCATCCAATATGGCCGCTAAGATTTCAACCTGGCTGCACTTTTTAAACAATAGAAGCTCGATCCAGTCTTTTTTTCGAGATCAGTGGTTACTGGGCTTTAACTGCGTGACGTGATGTCACAGCACGGTGGCTGCCACGCGTCTTTGAGTCGGCTGAGCTGGGTAATTGCCTGAACTGTGTCGTGAGCTAGAGGCATGGGAGGTGTGTGTGTGGAAGAACTTATACTTTGCACATAAAATAATATATACTGTACAGTACCAGTAAATGTGAAGAATAAACAAAAAATAATAATCATAAATAAATGAAAAAAGTACCGCCTTGCCATTGAACAGGAGACCCTGAGAAAGCGGAGCAGTGAGTGAGGGATCGCCAGCTATAGCTCTCCCTCCCACCCTCACCACTTGCTTCTACACACATGATTAATTCCCTTTATGTTTTTAGGCCTAACCAGCCAAGTTGCCAGATACATTATTAACAAGTATATATAACCATGTACTTTACAGGTGATGTAAGGGATTTCCAATGGTAATTTTGATTATTTAGCATGCCCTGACAATTTGTGGATTTTTAATTCGCTGACCTCGATTATTCACAGATGACAGCCTGGATGTACCCAAGAATGTCTAAGGGTAGTTTTAAAGTTGCTGGCATTTTTGTGGCCGGGACAGGGAACCATTCATTCTAGAAATGGTAATTTCTTTTACCTGTATTGTATATGTTTGTGTGACACAAAACACATACATATAAATAATAATGGTAAAATCCTCTCACAAATTATAATCAGAAACAAGACAACTCAGTGCTTTGTGTGTGTGTGTGTGTGTGTGTGTGTGTGTGTACACATACTGTACACACACTGTTATGAGTTGGGGATTTAGAATATAGTTAAAAGTCTACCCAGATCCCAACAGGCAACAACAACAAAAAAACAAAGACAATCGGACTATAAAAGGGTAGACAAAGGATGCGAGTTTTTGTTGTGTATAATAAAGTACCATAAATTCCTTAACCAAAATATTCAGCTATCTATAATTTACCCTTAACCATACTTAACCTAAACATTAACAGTATATACATATTTATACAACATACAATAATTTGAAGCAAGTGGACGTGGGGGAGGCAATACAAGATTACAAATACTTAAGTGCGGAGCTGAGATGGCTGACGAGTAAGGCTGAGTATTGTAGAAGACGGTAGGTAGTCACTGTGCCGTAGGTTTCCAGGATAGGTGATCCTATGGTCACTTCCCAGAGTGTAGTCCTCTCTCCTCGAATTGGAGCTGACAAAGAAGACTTTGAGGAGGTGACGCAACAACCAGGATATGGAGAAGGGAAACCCCGGAGTGGTAACTAAGACGAGTCATACTCGTGTTTCGTCCCTAGATGGCGTTGCTCGTGGTGCTGGGTAGGTAGATCATGACAATTGGTGGCGGGGTTCGTAACACACACCTATACATTACGGGTAAAAGAAATAATTGCCCTAAGGGCAAACACACAAAGGGAATACTGTATACATTTCTTTGCACACAAGTAAAAATATACCCCCTCCGGTCAGCAAATGTTATTCGCAGATTTGGCTATTCATGGCCGTTTTGGGAACCTAAACTCCATGAATTTTAAAGGCATGCTGTACACATTTTGGGCTTTATGCGCCCTCTTCAGAACTTAACCCTATTGTAAGATGCAACATGACTTTATTGTGAATAATGGTAAGAACTCCCCCTCATATATTTCATAATTGTGAAATAACTGGTAGCTCTTCTTTTGGTTGCAGATGGTGAGGGATTGGTTAGTACTCAAAATGTCTCCGAAAAGGCGATTTAGTCGACTGATGAAGTTATTTGGCCACGGTAACTTCTGGTGCATGACCTACCTCGACGAACTGCACAACATGAAAACAGAAGGCACAATCGTGAAGGTAAATAATTTGTTCAGTAAAGATTGAGAAAAATGGTTGTTTTTTTCACTAGACCAAAAGTCCTTTGGGGTTTTAATAGTTTGTACATTCTTTCTACTCGCATATTATTGTCATTCTAATTATAATCACTTCGTCAAGATACTGTAACAGGTAAATTTAACATGGCCAAAGTAGGATTACAAGTGTTCATGTGATATTGAGATTGAAACAGTTTATTTCGCCAGAAAAACACAGATACAGAGTGGATAATAATAACAATATTGATATGGCTCAACCAGTTGAGAACCTGAGCTCTCCTGAAGGCACCTGATATATACTGTACATTTATCTCCTGAAGTATTATGTAGCATTTAGTATCATCTGGAATAATACACATAACATTTATAGTATAACTACAGTACAGTATATGCATATTTTACAGTGGAGTTGATATACAGTAATATGATAAGGGAGGGAAGCATACAGGTTGTAGTAAAGTGAAACAAGAGGACAGAAGCTGTCTTGTCGGCAAATATATAATTATTGCAATGATTACTTATATCTATCTACTTGACAAGTTCTGATATAATGGGTTTGGTGGTACAATAAAGGTAGGAATATAAAGTAGGTTTTCAAAAATATTAATACTTAGACAATAGATATTTTTTTAGGAGATGATTTAAAGGAAGGGAATGTAATCTTTGCTCAGGTGGGTGGGAGTTAACAGGTTCTTCTTTGTTTGAAGGAATTTGAAGATGCAGGGGCTGTAGTTCAAGTAACTCTCCGGGTGGTTCCAAGTAGAGTCAACACCTTCGTACCATTAAGGGTTCTTACAGGTCCCTTCATGCCTACCATCCTGGATCCTATAGCTCTGACAAACATGCAGGGCATTGTCACAAGTAACCATGATTCATCTAGTGATATCTTCCTGGCTGAGATGGCTACCCACCGGTAAGAAGACTGCATTATTTAGCATGAATTTATGTCGCTTAGCATGTTAGTGTGTCTATCAACAAATTTGAAACTGTGATTGGTAATACTATACTGTATAGTAAAATCTTAACAGTACAAACTGATTGAATCTAGAAAATGTAAATATTTTCCCAATGGATATACAGGGGGCCTCCCAAGTTTGAAGATTTTTATTTCGCAGTCCTCTTTTATTCGCAGATGACACCCTGGTTGTACCCAAGAATGTCTGTGGGTAGTTTTAAAGTTGCCGGCATTTTTGCGGCTGGCACAGGGAGCCATTTGTTCTAGAGACAGTAATATCATTTACCTGTATTTTAAATATGTGTGTTTGTGTGTGTGTGTAGACACACACACACACACATATACAAATAAATAATAATGGAAAAATCCTCTCACAAATAATCAGAAACAAATTTATTAAAAATGTGACAGTCTACCCCCAATTTCGCGCTTTATTACTTTATTAATAAAGCATGAACTTGAGGGTAGACTCACATTTATATTAAATTTGTTTCTGATTATTATTTATGAGAGGATTTTTCCATTATTATTTATTTGTATGTTTGTGTGTGTGTGTCTACACACACACACACACACACACACACACACACACACACACACACACACACACACACATATATATATACAATGCAATTAAAAGAAATAATTGTCTTAAGGGCAAACTCATAATGGAATATAAATTTTTACACAAGTAAACCCCCGGTCTGCAAGTGTTATTCGTGGATTTGGCAATTCGGGGCCATTTTGAGAACCTAACCCCCGCGAATTTGGGGGGCCCCTGTACTGTACAGTAATTTATATGCTATTTTTTATTATTGTACACACAACTGTATTCTGATGTATACAAAACCCCTTTTTAGTTAAAATTTTCAGCAAAAAATGTTGCTTTATAATTTAACAGTTTGTAGTAAAGTACAAACACAAGAAAATATATGTTAAGGTGTAATACTGTACAGTAACGTTTTTGTTGATTTTTTAACAAATGGTGTAATTTTTTCCTCACAGGAAGCACAGTTTGCTTGTTGACTAGAAATTTTCCAAGCTTGCATTTATTCTTGATAATGTCATAGAATGTACTCTCCTTCAGACCCTACACCTGGTACTATATGTGAACACTTTCATGTTGCTGAGAGTACTGTACTGTACTCGGTGATTGATGGATGTTTTACCTACTGGTGTGCTTTTTCTTCTGGTAGGACCTTGAACTATTTTTTTCCACCAGTACTTTTCTCACCTGCAAGATGTGTAAACAAAGGGGGCAAACAATAAACTGGGCACCTCCCTTCATAGCTACAAACACCAGCATATATGTTGGGTCTTCAACAATTTCAATTAATTTGTCACATCATTCAATAATGTTTGAACTATCCCAAATTTTTCTAATTTGGTTCCATAAAACCACATAGTTACCATGAGGTGATATTACTGTATAATAAAATGTAGGGAAACTCGGCATATATTGAAATTGCTTAGATTACATAAAATTTTTCTGAGCAGTCTGACAAGGCTCAGATTTTTCAGAAATCACTTTCACTGAAATCCAATCTCTGAAAGTATTACTGTGTGTTCATCCATGCTGGGATTGAACCCAAGTCTTGTGAGTGGAAGATGAGTGCAGTGCCTTTTGACCCCTTAAAAAGTGGTGGTTCAGGTTCTATGGAAAAGTAATTGTTCAACTCCAACTTTTTCAGACCACCCACAAGCTACTTTTTGCTGTCAAATACCCGGTATTCTGATTGAAAGTTTTGGAAATAAAAGTTATACAAATTGCTTTCAAAATTCTTATGTATTTACCTGTAACATACCCATTTTCTGTAAGTTTGTACAGTACTGCAATATCTAAACCTCTTATTGTCTGGTAGATGCTAGATTTAAAGCTCTAATAGATTAGTTAATAAATTAATTTCAACATTACACAGTTATTAGAGACTTGTTTTCCATAACCTAAGAAAAGGCATGCGCAGTACTTGCCAACAGTACATAACAGAGACGTGACCAACTGCCTCAGCAGCTAACAAGCCGATCAGTGGCAGAGAGGATAAAAGTAAAAAAAGGAAAAAGTGAACATGCTGATTAATATCCCACGGCAGTGCTATTCAACCTGGTTGGATGGTCCACTAGGGTGGACGAGATTTTGTTTGGGGTGGATGAGATTTGAAAGGATGGCAACACATGTGGCATATTTTATTTCATCAACAGTTTGGTCAATGAAAACAAAACACAGGATCCACAAGTATTGGAGGTAGAGGTGTACCATTCCCGCAACTTGATGATGTCTGCCGTCCATCTCTACGCTGAAAGTGCCTCCTCGGGGCGTTGCTTGGTGGCCCTGGCCCATACTCTTGATGCAAATACTCTGCCTTCCCCAGCTACTCTCAAGTGCAAAACTCCAAATAATATGGTAACTTTGGATGATTAAAAGATGTGTTATTCCCAAGGTTTTGAGTAACAATTCTCCTTGTGTTTAGATCAGTGATGTTATTATTACCAAGATTGGCAATCATGTATCATATTGTAAAATTTTCAGATGCCCAAGACTACTCAGTAATATTTTTTAAATTTTCTTAAAGTATTGTGTTTATTGATTTTGTTGTCACACATGTAAAGCATTCTGTCTTTAATGGTGCATGTGTTTAGAATGTATAATACATCTATATGTGAAATAAATAGAAGTTTCCTCAGTGGATATACATTTTACTGAAACAGAACTCTTATATAAATTGAACGATGCCTACGGTATACAGTGAATTAAAGGAATTTGTTTTGTTTAGATTTAAGAAAATCAGGAAGAGGTAGGGAAAAATTAGGTCCAATCATCTGATATCTTTTACCTAGAGGTTCCTGTGATTAGTCTGCTTAGGACAAGGAAGATTATTGTATCCAGATCTTCCTCTTATAGACAATGTTGTGTGCATAATCTGTCTCATCTTCCAGGTTAACAATGTTGCCATGTGTGATATCAATGCTGGAGAACGAGCAATGATAATCAAAACAGCCAATGGAGACTGGGCACTCCTGGTGGCTTATTGGGAAGGACTGAAGAGAGGGACTCCAGGCTCATTGTGTAAGTTTTGGTGACATTTCTTTTTATAATAATCAAAGGAGTATGGGGGCAAAGTGCATTTTAACTACTAATAAAGAGGCTAACACTTGTATGTGATTACAGTCTGTTTAGCCACAGGAGCCTTTAGATCCTTCCCAATAACCAGTCTGGTGGATGCTGGAGTACCACCACTGGTACCGAGTACAGCATCTCCCTAGATCTCCAACATGGGAGGTCATATCTGATACATCCATGGACCATAGATTTACTCTCCACCCACACATTCCCCGATCCTTTGGCTTTTGTGTCCAGGAGATGGTTAACAGACTTACTTCCCCAACTCCCGGTCACCTAAGTGAAAGTGCTGACCGAAGCCTCATGGGACCTACCAGAGGTGCACTTCTGTCGGTACTTCTCAGGGAGCAAGGCTGATGTTAATGAAGTGATGGCCAGGATGTATTTCCAGGAACATTCAACTAGTCAAGATGGCTCATTGCATGTTTATACAGATGGTTCCAAATCCAACACTGGTGTTGGGTTTGGAGCCATCTTCCCTGATTTTAGCCACAGTGGGGGACTTCCCACCTTTGCATTTATTTTTACTGCAGAGCTCTCTGCTATATGCCTAGCCCTTAAAGAAATCAGCATGCATAAGGCTGGGAGTTTTACTATTTTTCGTGATTCCAGAGCAGCATTGTCTTCTCAGGAATTTTTTAATCCCATCCACCCTCTCGTTTTAGATATTTTTAACTAGCTAGTGGTCCTCTGTTGGCAGGGTCATAATGTGAATTTCTGTTGGGTTCCTGTCCATGTGTCCATACGAGGTAATGAGAGAGCTGACGATGTGGCCAAGTCTGCTGCCTCTCATCATGCCCGTTTATGCTCCCGCCCTCACAGAGATTCTTCCCTGCAGTCAGGTCAACCATCCAGACCTCCTGGCAGCTACTGTACAATGGGACAATTTATCCATCCCCAACAAGTGGGAATATCCTTGGATGCCCTGCTGTTATGAGACTGCCCTTACCCGTCAACATGTTGGCCACACTCACCTCACCCACAGTTTCCTAATGACCAGAGGACCACAACCCTATTGTGATGACTGCCTGGTTCCACTGACTGTGAAGCACTTGCTAGTAGAGAATCCCAATCATGGGGACTTAAGGAGTCGGTTTTTGGCTGAGTGCCGGCAGGAGGATGGATTTTTTCTGTCTCAAAGTTCCTCAGCAAGAAAAGTTCAGCACCTGATGGTGGACTTTTTAAATTTTAAATTGCAATTAAGGTACTTACCCGCTTTTAATTTTAAATAAATACAGATTTGTATATTTTAATTTTATTATTTAAACAATAGGATTTTATTTTATTTATATCATAGTTTTAAATTACAGTACAGGTGTAAGTTTCATTTTCGGTGTCAAATGGCCACAGGCTGCTCCACCGGACATTTTATCCAATCAATCAAATCAAATCGAATCAAATCAATGTGATAACAGTAAGTCTCTTCTTATTTGCCATATTAAAACATTATCTGAGACAAGTCTAAAGAAAGACACATTTCTGAAATTCACGCTCTGGCTATCTTAAAAGAATTTCACAACATAACTTTGGAGAATTTTAACAATGCCCGGCTGAGTTGTAGCCCTCTTTTATGATATAAACAAATTTTTAAAACACTGGTCAAAAATTTATTTCTTCCATTCTGTAAACAAAATTTAAAAGGTTTGTTAATGCTAGATTTTATCTTGAGTTGAACTCAGTTTAAGGAAACTGCAAGGAAATGCAAATACAGGTACTCCTTGACTTACGACATACTTAGCTTACGACAACCCGCACATACGATCGCCGTGGTCGTATAAAATATTTTTCAAAGTACGTATATTGTCCTGACGTTAGTGATCGCACTGTGTACCGACAAAATTTTTGTTTGTAATTTCCTTTAAAATGGCTGGCAAGCATAAAAATGAGAGTTCTTGTGGTGCTGAGAAGAAAAAAAGACACCCATTTTAGAATTTCTATGTATTATTTTCGCCTTTTCAACTTACGACCAATTCGACTTACTATCTGGTCATCGGGACGGAACCCCGTCATAATTCGAGGAGAGACTAAAGGTAAAAGTTAATCAATACACATTTTGAAAAGTGTTTACAAAAGTGATAGTGATGCCTAATGTTCATGGAAAGATGAGAGAAAACTGTTGCTGTCAGTGAGTATTAGATATGGTAATCTGTCTTCTAAATTCTCTTTGTACAAGTAGCTGCACTCTTGTAACACTATACAGTACATGTATACACATGAATTTTTAGTTAATGTAGAAGTTTAAGGGAAAGACCATTATATTTGTAATGTATATGATATTTTTTCACACCTGTAAAATCTGTGAAACATTTCAGCAAAACGTGGTGTTCCTGGGTGCCCGGGTCACCTGGTGGTACGTATCCACTGCCCACCCGCGGCACCAGCAAGAATCATTACCCTGCCATATGACCAGCAGGTCTACACTCATAACATTCAGGACCTTTATATAGACATGCAAGATGGACTTTTCAAGGTATGTATTTAATTTATCTAATGGCTATTATCAGCAGTGTTTTCCTACATTGATGCTTAACCATTCAGCATAGCAGTTTATAACTCTGAATTGGCAGTGTAATTAACTTAAGTTCAAGCTTTTCTTGGGGTGATAATGTTGGATGGAAATGTGTACACTGAAACCTTGCTAATTCAATGGTGTCGGGGCACCGGTTTGATCGAATTAGTCCAAAATATCGAATCATATCAACATATTGTATCTGTGTGTTCTTTGGTGTAAGTGGTGTAATTTCTATACATTGGAAATTTTTACTTTATTTCCATTTCTGTAACCTTCATGGTTATTTTTTTTCTAAGTCTCTTTTCTTTATTTATTGTTTTCTTTCAATATTTGTATTTATTTGGGTATTTCCTCCTACTTCCTTTTATTCTCAGTTTTACTTAGTTATATTTTATTCTGTGGATTTACCTTGGAAAACCACATTCTTCTGCATTCTTACACATTCATCTAATTATTATTACTTATATCTAAATGCTGCCACCACCCAGGCTTTCTTTAGAATATGATTTCTACAATGAACAAGTGGTAGTGTGGTAGATATGAGATGTTAGGCACATGAAGTTTTATTATATATTTTCAGAGATGCCAATCTTTAAAAGGAAGGAGCGGTGATACCAACTTTCTACTGAATCAATATTTATTAAAATCATATCTGAATATTATGACAATCCGTACCTTAACTCACAGCAACAAAAATTAGGTTTAATTACTGATTACGTTACTGTAACATTCAGACAAAACAAAACTGACCAATTGATCTTATTTTACAAGTGGTAAAAAATAGATCTTCAATTATATCAGTTACATTCAAGACTTATACCTCTCTAAGGGTATTATTACGAATCATTGACAGCAATGATTGTTACTACACACACATATCAATAGCACAGACTGGTGGTATTACTTAGATCAGTATACTATTACAAGGAAACATATACCAGCACATCAGCTGTGAGTACAGATGGTCCACTCACATCATATTGTAGTGTGTGTGGGGTGCAGTTTAGTCTATATTCTCTGTTTTAGGTCCACATACAAATGTAACTTAAGGGAGATCTCGCACTCAGGATGAAAGTGAGAAAGGAAACTTAAAATTGCCTTAACTCAACGTATATTGTATATACAATGCTGTAGGTTGAGGAGAGTTGTTGTGTGGTAGAGGAGCTTCAGGAGAGTTGGTGTTGTCGTGGAGAACGCAGAGTAGAATGACCTTCACGGCGAGGCAGGGGGGTAATATCTAGTCCTGCCTACTCAAGGACGCAGGCTGCGGTACGAGCGACGCCGCTGACTGGCTGATGGCGAGGACGGCAGTTGGCCAATCAGCGAGCGAGGATGGCGCAAATAGGCAGAGCACCTGTAGGGAAAGTTAGTCACCACAATACTTCCCCTCCCCTCAGGGCACTGCAGGATGCTTGTTGTAAGCTAAATTGCATCCCACGTGCGAGGCATAGCGGGCAAGGTAACTGATCAGTTATATCAATAAATGTTTATGGGTTAAGTTGTCAAACCCACAATGGTCTTTCTCCATTTATTTAGAAAAATATATATTATGCACATTCAATAAGGATCACCGCAATTACACTGTGAACTGTGAGTGTAGGTTAAGGACGGAGCTTATCTTAAGATAAGCTTTTAGGTCAGACGTCCTTAGTTCGTGAGGGTTGAGTATCAACTGGGAGCCGGCTACTAATTAGCTGAGCTCAGGTCTAAGAGACACGACTTGAGAGTGGAATCTTCTGATTACATGTGTGGAAAATTACTGTGGGTGATGGAACTATATAGCAACAATGTAATAACCGATATTTAATATAAAGACTACTGTCTATAAGACAGGGGCTATTACATCACTCAGTCACCACCTTCCGAGCTTCAGCGAGGAATTAGCTAGTCTCGCAGAAAAACCCTCTACATATACCTACCTATGTTACATGCATATGTGTGAAGACACTAAACTAGAGAAACTGCAACCTGGGGTTCAGCAGTTACTGGAGCCCTAGTCTGAAGTGTCTTACAGGAGAGAATATTATGTACAATGGCAAAATTAGAAGGTACTGACTTATAATAACAAAACAGGAATATTACTGCCAGTACTAACACAATAGGGGGGACATTTAAACTGGGTATAGCAAATCCCCATGAAAAATAGAAAGGCAGGTTATCCTCGAAACAGTAAGTCCTCAGTTAACTTTAGTCCCGCTTAACGTTGTTTCGGTACTACATCGCTCATCTTTAGAGACCAAAAATTTGTTTAACGTCCAGGTGATCCGATAATACATTGTTTTGAGTTGTCACGGACTACTTTCTACGACGCATCACCTGCTCTTGTCTGGCTGTGCTACGGTCTCTCAGCTCGGCGCGCTGCCCTGCCCTCACTCGCAGAACGTCACAGCACCCCAAGCAACGCCAAGCCAGTCTCTGTTACGACTCCGCATCATTCGTGTGTGCTTAAGTGCTTTTGCTCTAAAACTGTACTCTAACCATTCGAAATGGCTTCCAAGCGCCCATCGAGTGCTACTGATGCTAGTGCAGTGAAGAGGCAACTTAAAACCATTACCCTTGCTACGAAAATGGATGCATTAACCCAATTTGAAAAAGGGGAACGTGCTGTAGACATAGCTGCTGTGCTTGGTCTAACCCCCACAACGGTGCGTACTATCAGGACCAACGCTGACAAGATTAAGGTTAGTGCTGGAAGTGGTTCTTCTCTGAGTGCTACTAAGACGACTCGTACTAGAAGCACTGTGATAGAGAAGGTGGAGATGATGCTGGCAATATGGATGGACGACCAGAATCAATGCAATGCCACCATGAGCCTTATGGTTGTCTAGCTTAAGGCAAGAGCCTTATTTGACGACATGAAGGAAACAGAGATTGAAGGATCGAAGGAAGAGACTTTTATGGCCAGCCGAGGCTGGTTTCAACGATTTAAGCGTCAGTATATCTTCCACAACATAAAGATAACTGGTGAAGCTGCTAGATCAGATATGGTTGCTGCAGAGACATTCCTGCCAAGGAGGAGCAAGCAGCGGCGGAGGAACCCCAGTCAGAGGAGGAGGAGGAGGAGGAGGCAGCCGCAGTGTCAGTGACTCACCACCACCCTCCTCTCCCGCCCCCCTCCACTCCCACCCTCCTCCTCCTCCTCTCCCACCATCTTCCTCCTTCACTCCACTACCCACCGCACACTCGCTCTACCACCTCTGCCTATGATTTTCTATATATGTAACTTTTTTCATGGGGCAAAGGGAGCCTGGGGAATGTAACTCCCGTATTTTATCTATTTCTTATGGGGAAAATTGATCCTCTTAACGTTGTTTTGCATATTTACCTAGATTTTGCCAAGGCTTTCGACAGTGTACCCCACGAAAGGCTGAAAATCAAACTGGAAGGGTACGGAATTCAGGGAAAGGTCTTAGCTTGGATAGAAGACTTTCTGCATGACCGCAAGCAGTGTGTGGTGATTAATGGCACGAAATCATCATCTGTACCTGTTACAAGCGGGGTACCACAGGGCAGTGTATTGGACCCGCTGTTGTTTGTTTGTTTCATAAATGACATGTCTGACGTTGTACACTCCTCCATACAAATTTTTGACAATAACGCCAAGTTATTTCGGGAAATCAAGAACCAAGCGGACTGTGGAGAGCTGCAGAAGGACCTCTGTGGGCTCCAAGAATGGTCGAAGAAATGGCTGCTGAGATTCAATGTCATGAAGTGTAAGAGGATACACCTGGAGCGTACCAACAGTAAGGAGGCGTATCATATCAGGATGAAGAAACTGCACTATTTGAGACTGAATGTGAGAAGGACTTAGGTGTGTATGTTAACATTGAGCTGAAGTTTTCGGGCCATTGCGAGAAGAAGGTAAATCAGGCAAATAAATTATTGGGCCTTATAAGAATGTCGTTCAGATATCTAGACGGTCTGTCCCTCGTAACGATCTTCAAGAGTGAAGTGCTTCCCCATCTGGAGTACTGTCACCCCGCCTGGTCCCCGAGATATGGTAGGGACTGTCAGTTGGTTGAAAATGTTCAAAGGAGGGCCACCAGACTGGTGCCTGCACTTCGGCACCTCAGCTACCCTGAGAGATTGGAGTGCCTGAACTTGCCTAGCTTATACTACAGACGGGCAAGGGGTGACCTAATTTAGGTGTATAAGCATCTCAAGGGGGCACTACTCAGTCGGGTGTCCTTACTTGGAACTGGCGGACGCTCGCCCCACAAGGGGTCACAGCTCAAGATTGAAGAAGCCGCAAGTCCAGAAAACTGTGAGGGCAAAATTTTTCGGATTGAAAGTTGTGAACTCTTGGAACAATCTTCCAGAAAGTGTTCTGACGGCACCGAGTGTAAGGTTTTTCAAGACAAGACTTGACCAACACTGGACCGGGTTCAGGTACATTCAGGAGCCGGTGCATGCCCAGTATTTGCCAACAGTGCGTGACAGAGACGTGACTGATCGCCCGGGCGCCTAGCGACCCGATCTTTTGGTGAAGAGGATAAATGAAAAGGAAAACTGCTCAGAAATGTGACCGATCGCCCAAGCGGCTAACGAGCCGATCAGTGGTGAAGAGGATAAAACAATAAAATCGCGTTTTCAGGAACGTAACCCCGACGTTAAGCGAGGATGCCTTGTATTTGAAAAATGTGATTCCTTCAAATGAGAAATAAACTTTAATTTATCTGATACTATATTGAGTTCACTGACAGTCATATTAGGAGCCGGACACATAGGAATCAAATCTGAAGTTAGATTTAAATTTAAAGCAAAGTGCTGATGGGAAGGCAAGGTTTTCAACGAACGACAGGTTATTAAATGTTTACCACCATTCTGGCACAGTAAAATGACACTAGTTTCTTCTGAGAAAAAAAATACTGCGCATTATGTAGATGTGCATGAAACACAGTTTTCTTAGAAATTGGTGTATACGTAGTTACACTTTTTGAGCGCTGTGCGAACGTTGG